GGGTCTCTGAACAAGATTAATAGGTGGTTGGGCTTCCCCATAGGGCTTTCCGGGCGCAACGTCCCAATCCAAACGCTACTTAGCGGTGTGGAATTCAATCAACAGGCCTTGGAGGGAGATGGTGGTGGGGCGAGCCGAGGCGGGGTGGCCGAGGCGGGGCGGGGGCGCAGCGCGGAAACGAACGAACGAATAAAAGCCAGGCCCGGGCGGCGCGCTGGCGGGCGCTGGCTTGCTATGACACGCCACTTCCAGCAGCTCCAGCAGCAGCAGCAGCACGGAGTCTGCCGCGGGGCGGTGGTGGTGGGGTAAGGTGGGTGGTAAGGAAGGGCGAATAGTAGGGACCGGACGGCGCCGGCGGCCCAAGGGAGAGTTTCACTCTCTCACGCGTACAGTGAGACTTTTTTGGAAGACTGTTTTTTGTGGGGAGCGGTGCGATTTTCTGAAGATTTAATATTTTTGCTTTCAATGTGAGTGATTTTTTTAAAAAAAAAATTCGGCGTTGTGTTGAGCAGAGTTGGAAGCCGTAGATAATTCCCGGCAAATTATGGTAAAAAACGGAAAATTTCCGGGAAATAATGCAAATTTTCTAGACTTAGAAGTTTTCCGTTATTTTCCGTAAATTTTCCGGAAAATTTTGGAAATTTCCAACCTTAGCCTTGAGCCCTCCTGCCTGCTCCTTTCCTTGATGTGCATCCCCCCCTTCCCCTTTACCCTAAGATGCCCTGCTCACGGCGATGGAATTTGGCATAGGGCGCGAACTTTTCCTCGCCTTTACCCCTTACGTGCGCCTTTCCCCCACCCCAGGGGCGTGTGGGCAGGGAGGGGGGGGGGGGAGCAAGGCTAGGGGTGCATATGTAAAAGTGGCCCTCGGACAAGCCCCTTGGACGGAGGGGGCGGCCGGCATAGCCTGCTGGCCGCGAGCCCTCGCAGGCTGGCCGCCGCCCTCTCTCCTTCATCCCCTCTCTCTATATCTCTCTCTCTTTCTCGCTCGCTACGGGCACTCGCTCTCTCTCTTCACTGTAATGGGCCATAAAGGTCACCGAGTGTGGGGGATGGCACTTGAGTCAGCAGATAAGTCGATAAAACAGCTGGCGGCCACCTCCCTTCCTCTCCCCGCCCCGGAGCCTTTCCTGCAAAAGGCAGCGAGGGCAGCGCGGCAGCTGTGCATATCCTAATAACGAGTCCTAACCCCCTCCCCCCCCCCCTCTCGTCGCCCGATCTTTTAACTTATTTCGGACTGCAATGACTGGGAAAGGCCTCGCTGAGGATACCATACCGCTGCTGGAGCCTTATAGCTGCGAGAGGTGCAATCCTCCTGTTCTGCTACCAGGTGGCTGATCATCATGCACACACTATCTCCTACAAATCGTGGTGGGCCAGGGCCTCGACACAACAGTATGCGCTGAGTTTGCCTATTCTGCCCATCCATAAAGCGCCATATGCAACCCGTCCCCGCACGCCTGTACATACGGTACAGTATGACCAGAAGAAAGAACTACCGCTGACGGACCACCCAACCTACCCAAGATATGTAAAAGGATTCCTGAAGTTGAAGTCCATCTTGGTGACTATGTCTAAAAATAAATTGTAACAGAGCCACGCAGATGACTTTCTTTGTTCTCTCACATGGATGTGTAATGATGATGAGTTTAAATCGTCGCTACCGTTCGATCCGTTCGATCACCTCCCCCCACCCTTCCCTTCTCCGCACCAGACGGCTGTAAGTGCATTACGAGGTGGCGGAGCGGGGCACCACTAGGGGGTCAGCAGCATCACATTTGCATCGGCCAGCAACCGCTCCAATTACCCAGCTCTCCACTCCCCTCACTCTCTCCCTACTGCCCCATGGAACCACTCAGTAGGGCATCTTATTTTTATTTTTTATTTTTCTTTGTGAAAAATGGTAGTCCTTGGAAGAGAGGGAGAGATAGAGAGAGAGAAATACAAAAACTCGAACACCCATTTTTATACCCGAGATAGGGTTTGAAGTTTCCCAAATTTCCCGGAAAATAATTTACGAAAAATTTACGGAAAATAACGGAAAACTTAACAAAATCTGGGAAATTTTGCATTTCGTCCCGGAAATTTTCCGTCTTTCCCAGAAATTTTCCTGAAATTTTCCTGAAACTTTCCAGGGCGAGAAGGGGCAAAAATCTACATAAGTTTTTTTGGTGTCCCTTCCACTTTGCGTTATTGGCAAACGCACTCGCAATACCGTCTGGCAGTTGTTGGAGGTTCTGGACGCGGTGTGGAGCGTTTATGTCGCCTCTTCCAAGCCCCCCTATCCTCACCCCAAGCGCCGCCGCGCGGACCCCTCGACCTGACAGCCGAACTGGTGGGGGGGGGGGGGCGGCGCGAACTGACTGGCATTTAGTTGTAGCTACAAGGGCGAAAGTGTTGCTATCCATCAAATTCTCATACACAGAGCATGTTCCCTACCTCCCCTCCTCACCCCCCCCCCTCTCCGTGACGAACAGCAGGGGTTGGAAGAGAAAGGGGGAAGGTGGCACAGCACAGCCCGCCACACCCGAGTGAGAGGGGGGGGGCTAGAAACAGAAGAATTCTGTATTTTCAGGGGGTGCGGGGCCACCAAAGGGTTGAACACCCTCTCCTCCCCCTTTCCCCCTGCCCCCGGCGTTTGTGTGTGTGGGGGGGGAGGGGCACCCATCAATACCTAAACGTTCACGGACAAGTTTAGGAATTCAGCATACGGCTGTGTGTCGCACAGGCGGGCGTTGTATTCTTCCGCATTCTTCTCTCAATATCTCCTCACTTTTTCCGACGTGCTTCCTGCTATTTCTTCTGCCTGTGCCCGCTGTGTCCTTGCGTGGCATGCGAATTTTGTGTGCCTTTCATTATTATTCCTCCTGTTTTTTTTTGTAACACACATTTATTTATTTTTCTGCGTGTTATGCTACTTTTTCTTTTTTTTTTATTCCGGGTTTGTTTCCCTTGTGGTAGTCCTCATTACTGGTGGAATTTCACCCCCGAGGCACCTCGCGGCAGGAGGACGGCGCCGGCGGGAGCATTCCCCGCCCCGCCCCGCCCCGCAAGCAGCGGACAGCGCGTTTCCATTTTCATTCTCGCAATAGACTCTCTCCCCCTGGCCGTTGCCGCCTGCCCGTGCCCGCGCCGTCCTGCTGCTCCCTGGCTCTCCACCTTGCCGTGAGCGCGGCCGACACCGGGCCTGGCTCTGCGGGTGCTTGCTGGACCAGGCGGGAGGCTTGCTGCCCCGTATAGCGGCCGCCCCACCGTGTGTACGCGGGGTGGTCCCGACAGAGAAGGATGGCCGACCGACGCTGCTCCGTGGACCGTGATAACTGCCTGATGGAGGGCCCCTTGCCCCCCCCCCCTCCTTTCCCATCCCCCCCTCTACCCGCTACCCGGAGCTTACAGGCGGCGGGCGCGGGACCGGGGGGGACTCTTGACCCGAACAGACCTTCGCGCGCGCTCGCGCCCGGTTTGTTTCTGTTCCAGTCGGTGTTTCGGTGTTTTGTGGACTGGTGCTGCTGCTGCTACTGAATTGTTCCGATAGTATGCTCACGCTTTGTCTTCTTCTCTAGGCCATGCTGGGGATGCTGTGGCCGCCGCTGCTCTGGGCGGCGCTGTTCGGGCTCGCCGCCTCGCACCTCCCCGCCACCGGTGAGTAAAATGAAATGAAAAAAAAAAAAAAAAAAAAAAAAAAATAGAAAAAAAACTTTACCTTTCATTTCGTGTAGGTAGGAAGTTCTTCATATAAAACCGCGCATTTTGAGGGTCTTTCGATTGCCAAATGGTAAGGGAGCAAATCTGGGACGGCAGCCCAACTTAATTTCTGCCTCCGACAAATAGGAGTGTGAGACGTTCGAATACACTTTTTAGTGTTCCAATGCCACACACACTTGTACAGCACGCAGACCGTCAACAAAACAGCGCGTACGTGTCCCCTGTCCTTTTCTCGGTAGGCCTTCGCGCTGGCTCTCGACTTCTCCGAAATCCTATCCAGGCCGCCTCTCTGTGGCGGCCATCGTATGAAGCCGGTGGGGTAGCTGCCCACCGGCTTTTTGAAAAAAAGGAAAGAGATTTAGAAACGGTGCCCCAATAGGGTTAATTAGCATAGCGCAATCCCTCTGAAAACCGCACTTTTCAGCTTGCGACCGTTTCGTTTGGGATAGCTCCGACCAATGCACCTGTCTGTCCGGCTCTGGTCTGAGTACGAAAACAACAGACTAATTGAGGCTCGTTGCATCGTGGTGTTTAAAAATTAAGCTCGGACCATGGACTAGCCAGTTCACTTGTTCACTCGCTCACTGTAAAATATCGACGAAACCGATATATCTTGTAATTAATAATATTTCCAAATGTGTTTTATTTTTAACTTTTAATTCATATGACGGCCTAAATCGTCGATGAATTCCAAGTCGATATATCAATATTGCCTCTTTGGGTCATGCGCCGGTGGCATAGCAGCAACGGGGTGGCGTCCCGTAGGTGTGGTCCTTTAGAGCCCAGCCGCTCTAAGAGCGTGAGTGTTTTGTCCCACGATGCTTTGCAAGTGAGATGCGACACGGCCGTATGCACGGCACGGGGTCTGTTTGCAGAACGAGACACATTGGCAAACTTTGACAGCATCGCTGAGCACCGTGTGTGTGTGTGGGAAGGGGGGGGGGTCATTTGTGGAGTTACCCGTCGAGGTGCGATAGCCAGTCGCAATAAACCTTCCAGGTAAGTCAGGAAAAGTTAGGGGGAGGGGCGGTCCTGGAAAATCATGGAATTTGGTTGGATGACCCTTGAAAAATTAAATTTTCAAAACTAATCTAAATTTTCATGTTTAATTTTACATTGTTTATCAAGATATGGCCATGCCCTTTCAAATCCTGATCTGACGGTACGGAAATCCATATGGTTGTAATTTTATCACATCAAGTGTGACCTAAATTTTTAAATTATTTTTACGGTGTGGAAGATGGAATTTTGATAATTGTTCTTTTTTTCTGTAAAGAAAAGTCCTGGAAAAGTCCTGGAAAATACGCCAAGAGCCAAAATTTCGGGAACCATGTTTGCCGCATGCTGTTGTCATGTTATATTGGGCCTTCCTTTTGATCAGGCGGTGGGACGGGAAAGTTGGGGGGGGGGCACTACTGAAGGTTGAAAGGGACAGATAAAGGGGGATGAGGAGCGGGGTGGTGGTGGTGGTGGAGGTAGTTCTAATTTACCTTCTGAGTCCACGCGACCGTAGCGCCAACCACTTTATTGCATGTGATTGCGTCGATGTGGTTGGGGATGGGACGACGGTGACCCGGCTGCGGGGCAGAGGGACGTCATCACTCATCAGCAGGGAAGTCATCCGTAGTCAGGACGGATCGTGATATTGTAAGCGTGATGTAGTACAAGATAGCGACTACAACATTACACTATTTACATTAGCACAACTTTTACAATATGTTTGCGGTAAAAACTATGTAATTTTTTTTTTAGGAATAACAAAATATATTTTGCAAATAGTTTTTTTTATGGCAGCGTAACGCTACGATACCACTTCCTGTCGACGCGACAATAGGCTAACTCAACTGCAGAGTGAGAAAAACGGGCGTGGGGATCGAGAGAGAGA